TGTTACAAGTGACCTTGTCTGGAATGTCTGAAAAGTAGTTAATACTTTTTGGGGTTCTCTGTAATGAGTAAAACTGACTTCTTAAGCTACAGTATTAGCTATATATTTTTGTAAACTTACAAGGGAGGGCCTTCTATCCAGTCTTCACATGCACACACCCTGGTTCTAGGTCTTGGGAGCCATGTTCTACATTTGCATGGATAGATGCATGTACAGCTTAGTCAGCCTGCCAAAAGCACTTGCCTGAAATTGTTCCAGACTCTGGGAGAGAGCACAGAGACCTGTAAAGCAATTTCTTTGTTCCTCAGCCATAACTTAGCATCTGCTTTCAGCACAGCTGCTGTTCTACAGTGAGGTGGTGTTAGAAGGTGAGTGGCAGGAGAGTTTGAACCCTGCCTGTGAGGCAGGTATTGTTGGCCAAAGCTGGAGAGCTGAGAAGTGGCCTTCACTTGGTTCACGGGCCAACATCTAACACGTGTCAGACGAGTCGTCCCTACACTCACCAAGCTTGGGGGACATCATTGGAGGGAAATGCTGTATTGTGGGAAAACTGAAACTATTTTGTGTGTCTGTGTTGAGGTTGAGGTGGAAATTTCTCTGTAACACTGATGACAATATTCTAAGCTTTCCTTATCCTAAAAGGTAAATAACTTCAGACAAAGCTTTAATTTCTTTTGCACTTCTGTTTTGAGCTTGTAACTGGAAAAGCATGTCTTGCACTGTTCAGTCTCTCTGGTCACTTTAACCACCTCAGAGTTGTGTACAGTGATTATTCCCCTCCCCATCTGTATATTTTTGGAACCTTATACAAATACCATTGTCCTTGGTTTTGTTTTAATGTACTAAACTATGTAGCTTTATCATTTGACTTATGTTTTCTTTTTTTAACCAGCTGCTGCTTTGGGTTTAGGTGGTTCTGAATTCAACTTGGGATGGCACTGAAGATGCAAATGCTGCGTTTGTAGCTGTTCACAATCTCAGTACTATGGGTTAAAGTTCAAGTTTCTCTTTCGTTTTGTACAGCTGTCAGCATAACATAGTGGCTGTATTTAAAGCACCAAACAAACAAATCAGAAATTGTCTGATCAAATGTTACATAATCACAGAAAATGGATGTTTTTCCTGAATTTTCAGCTACAGTTTTTACTTCTAGAACATATTGACTCATACCAGGAGTAGCGTTGCAAATGCCTAATATTTCGCAGACATTTAGCGCTCAAATAAACTTCTTGAATAGTTTGAGTCTTTTTTTAAAATAGGCATTTTTTCTTAAGCATCAAGGAAATGATAAAAGATTATCTGAGGGAAGACTTAAAGTGTTAAAGGAGCATTTGCTGATACTGGTTTTCTACAGCTCAGAATTTTTTTTAACATTAAGAATCTCTTTAAGATAGATGCCTGCTCTTCAGATTAAAAATACTGGCATATACTTTAAAAAATAATTTTGAATCAAAGGTTCAGCATAATAGCTATAATTACTGTGTGATACAAATTCATTCAACGGTTATTCATGATGAAAAATTCCTGTAATGGACTACTTACCAGCTATTTGTGGTGAAATACTTCCAACAAGTATAAACTTGTGAATTGCATTTACTGAAAAGGTTTATTCATACATCCCTGAATATCTTTCACCTTAGTTTCTTTATTAATTTCTAGAATATGCAAGCAATTTCCCCCCCCTTCACAATATACAAATAGTTTCAGGTTACTCAAAGAGTATCATTTATTTATGTGTTGGGGAATCTCTAGCTCTGCGTAAACGGAGCTGGAAACAACAACAGCCCATTGTTACATGAAATGTTCTCTGTGAATGTGCCAAGTGCCAACTTGGAACCTTCAGCTCAAGGAAGCGTCACGTGCTCTGAGTTTGCAGGTGCATCCTGATTATCCGCCTGCTGATGAGCACAGTGAAATGGAACAAGGCCCCAGAAACATCACAGATATGTAACAGAGGTTACAAGGCAGCTCTGGGAACGCCATGGCAAAGGCACACCAGTGTTTTGCTTCCCAGGGAGGGAGGCTCCCTCTGGAATATACCCTGCTGGCACAGACAGAATGGAGAAAACAGAATGAAGTAATAGTTTGGAGAAAGGAGCTGCAGCGGTAATTTCTGACACTGTTGTCCCTTATTAAATAGAAAGTGTGCATTTGCAACATGGGAACAAGCTGATAAATTGCCTGGAGTAAAAACTAAATCACTTGTCATTCTAAATGTCTGTGCACTTTTACATGAGTTGGTGCATCAGCCTGGAGAAGTACAATGTTTGTAGTGATAAGTGACTATAATCTGTTAAAGGGAGATGTAGTTTACAAAGTTGCATGAAAAATTGTTTTATTTGCACCACTACTCAGCTTTAGCACTTTCATCAAGGGCTGAAACTGAACAGCTCAGGGTTGACAGGGAAAGCAATTGTGTCTTTTATAGTTACTTTCTTAAAATAACTTAAAACTACTGAGATCAGTTTTTCTGCTTTTCTAAAAATAGCAGCTTGCCTTGAAAACTTTTTGTTTCGTAGTAGGGTTTTTTTTGTTTGGTTGGTTTGTTTTTTTTTTTTTTTTTAAAAATTTATGTATCTAATGAACATGGTGGAAATGGGATCAGAAGATACCACAGTAGTGCTTTTTTGAGGGAAAAGCTGTTTGCAACCAGGTCTTGCTTCCCAAGTGGAACAGCTTGGATGTGAAAGGAGTATGCAAGCACCTTCCAAACAAGGACCAGTAGATGTCATAGATGGAAGCACTGAAGGAAGAAAGACTACCTGCTTAACAAGATAAATTTCACAGAATAAAGAACAGATAGAAACAAATGGAACTTCTTCAATTCCTGATATTTGCTCAGCATTGCACATTAATCACTGAAGTCCATTAATGTTACAAGGATGCCTGTGAATAATTTCTTAATATAAAAGGTAAGAGAGAATTGAACAGAAACTTAGTTGTTTTCACTGAGATCTAAGGGGGAGCACTAAGATTGCTTAAAGAATTTTCAGCATTAAACAGGATGGAAACAGGATGATGTGGCATACGGTTGAATGTGTCTTGAGACAGGAGACAGCTACCTGATTTCTTGGTGTTCCTCATGGTATTAAGAAGGTAACTGGCAAATTACAGTGATCGATTGTTATTTCATTCATAAGTCAATTCAGTTTGGGCTGGTTTACAGCAACATGTCTGCTAGGTGTCAGCTGTTCTGATACTCTCCAGTTGTATTCCTGTGCTGCTTTGCACCATACCTGGACCAGTTCACTTGTCCATGTGCTCTCTGCTCTTGCAGTTTTCCTTCCTCATTAGACAGGGATGCACTGCTGGCTTTGGTTTACATGTAACTGAACATTCTAGAATTTTTGTCCTAGCTTTGTGCCAGCTGAAGGCAACACTAGATACTGGATCTCTTTGTCTTTGAAAAGTGTCAGATAGAAAAACTGTTAGCTTGCTGAAGACCTAATAAATCTGGATTTGTTACACAGGCTGCTTAAAGCGGAAAGACTCAGTGAGTAAATAGGAAAGGCACTTTGCTCTCCAGTACACTTGGGCAATTAAATTTTCCAAAACTTTCCTATTTAATATTTTTCTTAGTCTTTTAAGCCTTGTTTAGCTGCTCTGGAATGTTTAGTTTGTAAATCTGGGCTCTTCTATTTAATTGTCCTAGTGAAATTTGTGACTGTTCACAAATCTATTTGCATTTGCAATGCTGTAAACCTGCCTCTGCGTGCTGAACTCTTGATACTCTGTCTCTCCCCCCAGTGTTCCTGTTGGCCGAGCTGCAACCCCTCTCATCATCTGACACATTCCTCCTCTTGGCAGGATCCTTCCCAGGGGTGAGAAGGTCTTTAGCGCAGTGATGGATAGCAGTGCTAATATTTGAGCTACAAGAAGGGAAACACTTTCAGAAACGTCGCTCGCAGTGTTTGGAGTGCAGCTGAGTGGAGCACTTGTGACCCCGGCGATCCCGCGCTCGGCTGCTGCACGGGCAGCTCAGAGGCGCTTCCTGGCTTGTTGTGAAACGGTGGCTGACCGAGAAGTAAACCTTGCAAGGTCACAGTGCCTGGATGAAATCTAAACATCTGCTTTGCCTCCTGTGCTGCACCAGTCCCCACGGAGTCGGCAGAATTCAGACCATGCGGCTAAGGAGGGGAAAGCTGTGCGTGAACTCTTCCATGTCTCACCTGCTTGCTCCGTTTTCCCCTTCTAATTCCCATCCTAATATGCACGGGTTAAAAATGCATGCAAACAAAACTATTCCCACAGGTGTTATCTTTATGGATCCCGTGCTTTGTGCATTATTTAGATTGCAAACGTTGTCAAGTAGGGATTGTATTTCCCCTCAATGAGCCCAGTTGCACATGGGGATTTCAGCAGCCAGTACCCGTTAACCTCTTTTATTAATTATTACAAATAAATTTTAAATGACGCAACATAAACCTTGAGATATTAATATTACATTAATAGACGAGGTATAATTTAATTTGTGATAACTTTTTCTGCTGTTTTTGCCACTATTACTCATTTAGAGTATTTTGAGTGGATTTTTGGTCTACTGACTTAGATTGTTTTGGGTGGGCAAGTAAAATCCCAATCAAGTAGTCATTCAGCTTCTATATTAAATAATCTTTGTAGCTGAACTTCCCGAAGTCAACATTATATAAGAAATACATGAAGGGACGGATGTTTGTCAGTGAAATCCTTAGAATATCTTACCACAGAAAGAGACCTTGGCACGGGCGTTTTGAGTAGTAGTTGAATCCCTTTAGGCGGGGGTCTTTATCTTTAGTGACGGGGTTAAACCACGGCAGCAGTGCAGATTTCGGACAGATGACAGCTTTTCCTTGCTCGGCGGCTCCGTTCCCGCCGGTGCCGCTGTGAGGGGTCGCTCCCGCGGGCTGAGGGAGCGCCCCCCGCCCCTCAGGGCGCCGGCAGGGGGCGCCTCCCCGCCGGGAGCGCGCCTGACAGCGGGCGGCGGCCAATGGGCGGCGAGGGCGGGGCGGGGGGGCGTGTCCGCGAGCCGCCTGCGCGGCGCTATAAAGTGCGGGGCCGGGGGCGTCGCGGAGCCGGCGGGACGGGCGGCTGTGAAAGGGGAGCGCGTCGCTGCCGCCATGGGGAACACCGTGGCCAGAGAGGATTTCGAGTGGGTCTACACGGACCAGCCACACGCCGACCGCCGCAAGGAGATCCTGGGTGAGGAGCCGCGGGGCCGCCGCCTCTTGCCGCCCGCTACGTGGCGGGGGGGAGGGGGTCACACATGGGCACCCCACAAAATGGGCACCCCACAAAATGGCCGCCCGCGCCGGGGGGCGGCGGCGCCCGTGGGGGGCTCCCGGCGGAGCCGCCGGAGCCGGGCTGGGCCCGCGTACGTGGAGGCGGGAGCTGCCGCCTTGGCGGCGCTGGCGGGGGAGGGGAAGGGAAGGAGCGGGGGGGAAGGAGGGAGGGGGAGGGCGGCGGCCGGGGTTGTCTCCCGAGGGGCCGCACCGCGGAGCCCTGCGAGCGGTCAGGCGGTGTCACCTCCGGGGTGACAGCCCGCGCTCACGGGGAGGGGATAGCGGCGTCCTCCGGTGCCGCGCATAACGCGGGGCTGAGCTCATTGCAGCCCTTCCGAATCGCGGGTGGGTTGTTCGGGTCAGAGCCATTTCCTTCCTGGGTAGGATGGAGGTGGCACTGGTGCTTGCCGAGTACGTGTCTAGTTGCTGAGCAACGTGAAAGTGCTAAAATTACTCGATTCCAAGTGATTCATTATAGCAGCACATATCACAAGTGGAAAGGTCATGCGTTTTCGTTAACTTTGCAGGGAAATCCTAATTGGGAAGAAGGGAAGGAAAGGCTCTGTCTGCTGTTGTACTCTAACTGGGGGTAGTTGGCTGTGAGGAGAGCTTCGAAGTAACTCCTGTTTCATGTAATTCTTTCTCATCTAGCTAAACATCCAGAGATAAAAGCATTGATGAAACCAGACTACAACCTGATCTGGGTGGTTGTGCTGATGGTTCTGGCGCAGTTGACTGCATTTTATCTAGTTAAAGACTTGGATTGGAAATGGGTAGTCTTCTGGGCATACGTTTTTGGAAGCTGTATTAGCCACTCCATGACTCTGGCTATTCATGAGATCTCTCACAATAGTGCCTTTGGCAACAGCAAAGCCATGTGGAATCGATGGTTTGGAATATTTGCCAACCTCCCTCTTGGTCTCCCGTATTCCATATCCTTCAAGAGATACCACATGGATCATCATCGTTACTTGGGAGGTGATGGAATTGATGTGGACATTCCTACCAACTTCGAAGGCTGGTTTTTCTGCACCCCTTTCAGGAAGTTCATGTGGATTGTTCTTCAGCCCTTTTTCTACGCGATTAGACCTCTCTGCATCAATCCCAAACCCATTACTCGACTTGAAGTAATCAACTTGTTGGCTCAGCTTTCCTTTGATGTTGTGATATATTATTTATGGGGAGTCAAATCCATTTTTTACATGCTGGCTGGTTCAGTACTTGGACTTGGGTTGCACCCAATTTCAGGACACTTCATAGCTGAACATTACATGTTTTTAAAAGGACATGAGACCTATTCCTACTATGGGCCACTTAATTTGCTCACTTTTAATGTTGGCTATCACAACGAACATCATGACTTCCCCAATATTCCTGGCAAGAGCCTTCCATTGGTAAGTTTACTTCCAAGGTTATTACTTTTTCTTAAATTGAACCCTACTTGAACTTGAAAATTAGGTAGAACACTGACAGAAGAATGGAAACAACAAACAACAAATAACCAAACAAAAATGACAACATGAGTGATAAAGGAGGTAATTACTTAGCATTTTAGTGGTATCTTGGACAAGCTTCCAGAGTGCTGCCTGCCTCTTCCATAAAAGGAGAGGGGAGGAAAAGCATGTCTTATGCTTTGCACTAACTTTAGCTTCCTGTAATTACAACCTGTCTTCTGATTTCTTCAGTCTGTAAGTATTCAGAAAGCTAGTTAAGAAGTTGCAAATAACTTGGGATATTTGTTGTCACTGCAGTCTTAAGGACAGTGTTGTGATGTGTGCTTATGCTTCAGTTTCTGCTATCAGTGACATTCTCTGTTGGGGGAAAAGAGAGGGTTTGAGATGATGTTAAGGTTTGTTGTACTGTTGACAAATGTTTAGTAACTTTCCAGTCTGGAGCACCTCAGTTTCCTCTGGCCAGAGCCTTTGAACCCTAAATAAGTATCAGCTGTACATTGCCAGGACTTAGACCTGTCATGTCTGCATGAGTAGCAGAGGTGAAGTTTCTTCTCAGTTCAGTCTTTGCTTCCTAAAGGCAGGAGTTTTGTTCTCACTGTGTATGTGTTTCCCAATTGGAGCACAAGCTTCAGGGGACATTAAATTTGCAATTGGACAGCAGCTGCAGTGTTGGTCTTGTAGCTTTGTTTTTGCACTTGGCAATAGTAAGACCTTATAAGCTTGCCCCTTTGGTGGAGTCTGAGCTTGTTATTTCTGTTGTCAGTGCTGGAACTGTAAAGTGAAAGAAGTAAGCCAGCACTTTTAGCAGGGCAGCTGGATTGTGTAGTTGGTTTGTTGAGGCTTTGTGTGTTTCTTGTTTTTAATGACGGATGATTGCTCTTATTTATAGATTTCATCTTTCAAACACAGGAAAATTTGCTTTAAGTCACCTTTTATACCTAGGTCTGTGCTGGTGAACTAGTATTCCACTTCTTGCAGAGGTATTTCAGCTATAAATAGGCATGAATTTTTTCAAGTATTTAATTCCAGGGGTAAATACCCAGTTCTGCTGCAGGACTTGTAATCCACAGCTCTGATAAGAAAACAAAGCCTTCTTTTAGAACAGTGCAGCAAATCTGATTGGACTGGACTCTGCTATGCTGTGTGCTAAGACCCCTGAAGTCCTGAACACTTGATTCCTCAGCACTGAGGATTGTTACTGTTGAATAAAAGTATAGATGCGCTATTCTACAGGTGCAATGATGGATCAAAAGATCTTTGGCTTCAAACTAGGCATGTAAATACCTTGGGCTCCTTTGTTGCTTACACAGATTAATATTATTTTTCTGACTAAAGCTACGGAATTTTGTGAGAAATCCTTTTTTTGTTCTGTTCAGGTTTTTAAGGCTTCAGGTGCTTGGCCTTAAATATCACTAAGGATAGCTCACTGAATCTGCTGCTCTCAGTTTAAAACAGTGGTCTAGTCAGTACGTACAGCTGAGAACAGTCTTTGGAAGCAATTTATATTCATTCTTTAAAGTCTTTCTCCATAAAGGTGTTCCTCTGAAATAGAATTTTTTTTTTTCTTCTGAATGCGGAGGTTTGAAACTACATGTAAAAATAGCTGAGTTAAACATCTCTTCCCAGAACTCGTAACATCCTTTTTTACTGGTACTTGTATACCTATGAGTCAGCACTGAAGTGAGTCACCCACTTTCAATAGCAATCAAACCACTTGCTTTTTGAGGGCTTTATCATGTGGGTAGCAGAGTGAACGGACTTTGGAGTGCCAGTGGAGTTCGTTCGGGTTATCTTCAAAAGCTGCACATGAAGCTTATGTAACAACTAGGGAATTGCTTTCTCCTTCAAGAAATGTTCACACTGTGGCAATAGTGGCTCTTCCTGTATAACCTAACCTCTGAAATGAAAGTGCCGTGCATTAGGTTACACGTTGAGGTTACAATTTGCAAAGTTGTCACAATTTGTGCTAATATAACCGGTAAATAAACCTCATATCTCTTCTTCAGGTGAAGAAAATAGCGGCTGAATACTATGACAACCTGCCACAATATAACTCTTGGATAAAAGTACTATATGACTTCGTGATGGATGACACAATCAGCCCATATTCACGCATGAAAAGGCAATTAAAGGGTGAAGTGAAGCAGGATTAAACTTCTGGCAACCAAAAAACTTTGAAATGTCTGCTTGCTTAAAGTGGCTGGTATAAAGGTCTCTTGCTAAAGCTGTTCACCTGTGTCCTGAATTAAGATGTACAGCAACATAGCAATGCATCCTCAAGGACTTTGTAGCAGACTCCTACCAGCTATAACATTCCTCACAGCCCTCAGATTTGTTGGTTTAATGTGTCTCTGTTTGCCTAAGGATCAGTGTTATATGCATAATGCAAAATCACTTTGTTACAGAATTTACTTTGCTAGGTGTTAAATCTATATAAAATATGTCTGACTCATAATATTTTAAAAGTTCTCAATATAGTAAACTGCCCTCAACATGCTATTTAGGTGACTGTAGTTTTAAAAGGCTGTACTTACCTGTTAATTCTGAACTAACGTAATTTGTGAACTTAAACCTTCTGTTGAAAATGTTTCCAAACTTATGGTTGGAAGAGCTAAATTTGCACAGAAATGTTCAGTCTGCTTTTGTTTAAATATGTAATATGTCATCTGAAGCATTGCTTGAAAGTTTGACCTTTTCTACTTAAAGGACCTTAAAGGAGCAATCTATCAGAATGAAACCAATATCCTTGAGATGGCTTCTGTGACTTCTTTGTTTAATTTAAAAAAAAAAAAAAAAAGTGGGGAATTCAAGGGTATTGCCGCTCTGTGGTTCCACCTACTGCCTGAGCTGCTTATGTTGGCATATAGTGTGAGCATTTAGGAAAGTTAAAATAACTGATTGGGGTTTTCACATTGGAAAAATCGTTACAGTTTGAGGTTTTTCTGATCTTCAAGGAAAAATGATTACTATGTTTTAAATGCTATAAATATTTACACTCATTTGGAAATCTGGCTTGCATGGAAAACAGAATAGATTGAGACAGATATTGTTCTGGCAAACAAGGCTTGCTACAACCACTGACAATTCTACCTATTAAGCATATTAGTAATTTATGTACACAGAAAGGTGTTGTTAAATAATCTTACTTGTTTTTTTTTCCCTACACCTACAGTACCCTCTATAAATACTTGTCTTTCTTACATATTAAAATGTGGCGAGAGGTGGTGATATCAAATTTCCTGCTTAAGAAGTTTTTAATTTGGAGCAGAGAACAGATAGCTCTGCTGAAAACTGAAGAATCTCTCCATACCTCAGCACAGTAGGTTTGCCTTCTACCATCTAGTGCACTGATGATGGCTTTAAGCAGTCAAAGGTGGCTACAAATCACCCTTAATCTCAAATGGTCATTCTGTGGTATGTTCTTCACTAACCTGAAAGATGGAATCTGAAGAAGGTGGAATCTTTAGTTGCTGCTCTGCTTCAAGTAACTTAATTTTAGATGCCTTCACCTTCTGCATTTTGGTGTGGTTTTTTTTAGGCCGTTTGTTTTTGTTTGTTTGGTTGGTTTTTTTTGGAAGAAGGTGAGTGCCTGAAAAGAATGTGTTGGTACATCTTACTCCTTATCTGATTGTGGTCTTGTTCTTTAATGTGTGTTTTGTTTAAGTATGGGCCCTTACCTTTGGCTAAGCAGTAGAAACGGAATGAAGGTATGCCAACCACTTCCAAAGTGACTTCCTTAGGCCAGGAACACGAGAGCTAGCCAGCATATTGCTCAGGGTAGAGTGTAATGTCAAAATATACTTTGTCCGGTATTTTTACATGTAATTAAAAAGCAAAGATTAAAGTAATATTGGGTGAATTATTGATTGGTCCCCTTATGCTGAAAGACTTAAGCTTTAGAGAAACTTGGTATTTTTAAAGCAGATTCAAGACCTGCTTTATTGAGTGGTGATACAGATGAACTGTAAAGAACTGCTGCCTTTCGTCTCTACTCAGGAAAGCTGACTTTGGTTGAAATACTTGTATAGGCTTAACAAGTTGCAGACCAGTTTCTTTTTAAGCCACTTAGTTAACTTCACCCTTTTCTTCTTAAATTACCCTTGATGTTGATGACTTATAGGTGGATGAAGGACGGAAAGTGTCTCCAAAAAGTTTTATGGCCAAGAGCTTAAGTTAAAAAATTCAGCTATCCTACATGAATGCTTGAGATAACCAGAGTTCAGAGACAAAATTTTATAGTTACTTAGTTACCTACATCGTGGAATCACTGATGCTCCTTTCTGTGCCCCCACTGGGTAGTGCGAGTGTAAATTCCTGCTTTTAATCAGGACTGAAGTTGCCATGTCTCTTGTTTAAAATTGCAGATGTTGCTTTAAGGTGTTCTGACTATGCTCTTCCCTTCCAACTCCAATTATAAATACTCTGTTTTTCTCTTCAAGAGGTGCAGAACAGTGGGGAATTCTGAGGGAGATATCTATGCCTGCCATAATCGTCCTGAAACATCTGCTAATGGCTACTTATTGGAGAACACTTACTGGATAAGGCTAATTGGAGCCAGTGAGACTTCAGTTTGGATCTAAATAATGGTTCAATTCTTGCAAGCATTGCTTAATACCATTCTTAGGGATATAATTCCTGTGTAATACACAAGAGGCCTCGGCATCCAACTTCAACAGTAGGGATTTTGTCAAAAGCAGATCATCTGAAAGTTAACCTACACTGCAGCATAGTTTCATCCCTAAAAAACAGAGTCAGAGGCATTTCTGAACCAGTAGTGAAAGTAATTAGGAACAGCTGGGCTACTTGATGTGTTTGATATATTCTAAATGTAGAACTAGCTTTATCCAGTCCCACTTAAATGTGGTGTTTACTCCAACAGCATGGCACGGAACTAAGAAACACTAACATCTAAAAAAATATACATACACCATTAGTTATTGTTTTTTAAGGAAGTAAATAGTTTTCATTAATACAAATAAAATATATGGCAAAAACAGGTTAGTATAATTTTGAAACACTTTATCTGAAAGTTGGAGGGAGCCTTGACTAACCGATGAAGAACAAATTGAACCTAAAGAGCAGTAAGAACCCTGATCGTTAACCCAATTATAATTTTTTCTAAATCTATTCAAATGGAATGAGCTAACTTCGGTGTTTCTACTTGCTGGTTAAGGTTTGTTCCTTTCTGTGTAACTAAAGCATCTCAGTTTGGCAAACATCTCCTTTATGTGAAATCGGCCAGGACTTTTAAGTGTCATCCAAGTATTTTAGCTGCAGTTAAATTGTGCGGTGCCCTGAATCCCCTCCAGGGCTTTCAGAGTAACTTGCAGTTTTCAGAATAAACTTCCTTGCATGGCTTTTAACATTCCCTGCCCCCAATTATTTGAAGTTGCTTAAGTGGAATAAGTTATGCATCCTGGAATCTGATTGTACTAGGCATTAGTTTTCCCACAGGACAGGCGTGGGTATATTCCTCTTTCAAAACAACTCTTGCCTCTGGCATTCTTGTTTGGCTGTTGAACCTGTCTGCACCCCAGCAGTGGCCAATTAACATGTGCTAAATGAGCGCATCTCTCTGCAGATCTCGGTGCTTTCAGATCCCTGGCAAGACTTCCCACCTGGCACCAGAGGCCAGTTGAAAACTAGTTAAGACTTTTCAGTTGTGTGTCTCAGAATTGTTCTGGTGAAGTCTTTAAATGTAGCTGGTGAGCACATAACACACACTTGAAAGTCTACAAGTGCTGTGAAATGTATCTGTTCTAGGTGAGTGGCCGCTGTCAGATGATGAGGTCAGTGGTTCACCTCTGCCTCCTTGACTTTTATTCCTTCTAGCAGATGTCAGGTATGTCACAGGAGAGCTTAAAGCTGTTCATTCCTTATTTAATGATGAAGTTCAACAACTGATAAACATCAGCGCTGTAGACTGCAGGCTGCCATCCTAATCCTGTTGGACAAGCTGCAGAAAAGTCACTTCCAAAGAGCAATCTTGTCTAAGTAGTTTGACACAGCTTTTGGGAAGTACTCCTCTGTAATTTGAAAGTCTCAAAGGACTTTTATGGCAAAGCAAGCTCTGCGGTTTCAGCTCACACTGCAAGGCACAGGCAACACTCGTGGGTCTGCACACGTTGCTTCTGTGAGATCCTAGGAAAAATCTGATAAATACTTGTGTCTAAATCATGGGTCTGCCTTTAGCACAGTAACCTGCAACTCAGCACACAATTATCTCCTCTGTAGCAAATCCTCCATTTCACAATGAAGCCTGCAATGGTATACAAGACTTTATTCAGAACAAAGATGTGGAAAAAGTTTCCTATTGAGCCAAGAATGAAGGCAGCTTTTTTTTTTTTTTTTTTTCCTGTTGACATTTCCCTGCCCTACCTCTACCCCCTATCCACGCTTAAGTTAGCACCTACTCTGCTCTGGGACAAGATGATTATTGTGGTTTAAATATGTTGCTAGCCTCAGGAAAAGGGAGAGGAGAGTGGCATGATGAACAATTCCTTGATCTTGTCACAACAGAAACAAGATGACTCGAGGCGAAACCTCGAGGCATGTCTGCTGGGAGGGGCGGTAGCTGCATATGCAGGAAAAATATTTGTCTCTATTTCATGAAAAGGCTCGTTCCTTAAAGCAGCTCCCATTTTCTGTGTACAAAGGATCTCTTCTGTACAAAGGATCGTTGTTTTTTTAGTGATACATACTATAGCTTCACCCAAGAAGTAGCAGTGTGGGTGCACCACTCCTGTGTGAGCACTCAAACAGTTCAGTTGCTGCCCTTGTCTGCTCCTTGATGCACAGGCAGCCCAGGCAAGGTAAGCAAACAGGATATGGAGACTTGACTGATCTGGCTCTTTTAGGCTTCCAACCTGACTTCAGATTTTCCTGTAAATTCAAACACTCCTGCACCCCATTTCCCCTTCCATTATCACCTGTTAAGAATGAAGAATGATCATGAGACACCTTGAATATTAAACATGTTTTGTGTTGGAACTCTTGACAAGATGATTGAGATCCCCTTGCAACGTGCTATTGATTGAAAATGATGATTCTCCATCGTGGGTTTCTGAGAATCAGAATTCAGTAGTTCCTGAAGCCCCAAGCCTGATCTACAATTAAAAGCAGACATGTCATCTTCTGCTTTCTATACAGGGATTTAATTTGTTAGTCATAGGAGCCAGAATTTGAGTCACTGAGGCACCAGCTTCCCTAGGAGAGGGAGGGAATGTCATACCATGCTGAGAAAAAAATCACAGTGCTAAATACAAGCTGCCACGAGCGTCAGGATTTTTAAAATGCAAGTCTGTGGGGATTAGTTATGTGTAATAGCCTTCCACATTTACCTTTGGGGAAAAATATGCAGCCAGATCTGTTGTTAGAAAGCAATTCTGAGAAGAATTTAAGAGGAAAGAGGGAATAGTTTCCCTGTCAAAGTAAGGCCAGCCTTAAAGTTAGATCAGCTTGTTCAGGGGATTTGTTTAAATGAATTATGATTTGTGTAGATCAAATGATCTTCTCCCTCGTCAGTGTTCAAGTAGGTAGAGGAGCTGCTTTCAGATTAGATGTTGCTTACAGAAACTATTTCACTGGGGTTTTTACATGGAAATTTCATGACTTCAATTTTTAAAGTTTAATGTTATCAAACTTAAGACTTTCTATGAAATGTAGTAGCGAAAATCATTAATTTCCTTTTCTGATCCTTGACTGGTAGTAGTGCTTTTAGGAAGAATAGGGCAGATCAGAGGAACTGAGATCAATGATTAAAGAACT